CAATACAAGTTCATCTACGTGGCCATCGCCCAGTTCATCGAAACCACCAAGAAGAAGCTGGAGGTCATGCAGGTGCGGGCAGAGAATGGCCTGGAGGGGCCGAGGGGGGCAGTGGGCACTGCCCGGTGCTGCTGGGACCACTGGCCTCCCACCACACTTCTTCCCACAGTCCCAGAAGGGCTGGGAGTCGGAGTACGGGAACATTACCTACCCCCCAGCCATGAAGAATGCCCATGCCAAGGCCGCCCGCACCTCCTCCAAGTGAGTGGCCCCACCTCCCGCCTCCCAGCGTCTGCCCCTTTCTCTTCCCCAGCCCGACCGACCCGTCCTTTCCAGGGAGGTTCGGGTTAAAGTTCAAGCTTGGTTCTCACAACCTGTGTTCACAAGTGTCTCCTGAGTGCCCTCCATGTGGGGCCTGTGCTAGGCACTGATGTGTGAGATGGAGCCTCTGCCCCCAAAGGAGCCTCTAGTCTAGTATAAGGACACTGTCAGGACTGGTCTCCTTGCTCTCCTGGCCTCAGTTTGCTCACCTGTGAGATGGGGGTGGCCCCGAGGGGCTGCTGGTACTGGAGACCCCCGGCCCTGTCTCCTGACTGCCCGCACCTGCCTGCCCCGCCTGCAGACACAAGGAGGACGTGTATGAGAATGTGCACAGTAAGAACAAGAAGGACGAGAAGGTGAAGCAGCAGCGGTCGGCAGACAAGGAGAAAAGCAAGGGCTCCCTGAAGAGGAAGTGAGCTGGTGCGGCCCCTCCCTGGCCTGCCCTCAGGGGCCCCCAGGCTTGGCGCTCTCCCTGGGATGGCGCTCCCCCTGGGATGGACGGACGGGGCAGCTGCGGCCTCACCCTGTCTTCCCAACCCAACCAGACCTGTGTCTTGTCCCCCCTCGGGGTCCAAGCCCCTCTTATCCTTTCCTTCCCTGTCTCTGCAGCCTCAGCCCGGTCCCTGCAGAGGCCTCCAGTGGAAGACCCAGAGCCTGAACCTCGGAGCCTGGCCCCCCATTCCATTGTAATTTAAATGGCCATGTCCCCACCTCCCTCTTCCAGCCCCTGTATATAGCCCAGCAAGGCCCCTGGCAGGGCCGGGCCCTTCTCTTGTAAATAAAGCCTCTAGATCACTGTGTGTGGGTCTCTAACTCTGTGTGCCTGGGCAGGAGGGGGAGGCGGGCAGGGAGTGCTACATGTGGACACAGAAAGCTGGGCCTTCACAGTCTGACACACGAGTGTGAGTGTGGGTCAGGTTCCGCCGTCTCGTCCCTTTAAAGTGGAGGATGATCCTGCCAGGGTGGTTGTGAAGATCACTGAGATCAGGGATGATGAAATTCGTTACACTCTTGCTATGTATGTCAGGTGCTGTTGAAGAGACTAAAAGTGGTGATTGAACCGGGGTACCTGTATCATTCCTATTTTACAGTGGGAGAAACTGACACAGAGAGATTAAATAACTTGCTCAAGGCCACGGGACTATTGACTATTTTAACTCAGGTCTTCTGGCCTCAGAGCCTGCATTCCTGGAGACGCAGCCAGGGTCACCCCGAGGGGGACATAACCACATTCTCCGGCCTGGACTTCTACATCCAGGAGCTAAGAAGATGGACAACAACGGCCAGTTAACACAGGCCCAGGGCCAACCTCCCTCCCCCGGGCACCTGGTGTGCAAAGGAGCACCATGCTCTTCCCTTTCTGGGGCTACTAAGAGCCCTTAGGCTCTTGGTCAGAGGTTCAGTTTTATTTTTGTTCGCTCTTCCTTCCCCTGGGTCCAGAGTGGACAACAGCAATGATTCCTTCTTTGTGTTAAGGCTTGTTGATTATAATGCTAGTCTCCTGGGGAGTTGAGCCTGAGAGAGTCTGACTTGGGAAGGCCCGGCTCCCTGCTGCTGGGCCGGCTGAGGCTGGGTGGTCATTCACTCAGCATACACTTTGTTTATTGAGCGTCCCTGTGTCCCAGGCACTGGAGCAGTGCTGGGGCATGATGGTGAACCCAACAATTCCTGTCCTGGTGGGAAGGCAGACCCAGAAACAGTCCACAAACGTAGAGTAAGTACAGACAAGAATTAAGAAGGACGCAAACAAAGGGTTGGGGGGGGGGGGGTTAGGGAACGAGAAGGCAGAGCTGGGATTGGGTGACACAGCTCAGCTCCCAGGAGCTATTGCCCTCCAGGGGGTGCGTGGGTGGAGCATCACCTGTGGGCCTCAGGGCCCCTCTCCCAGCAACGCCCTTTCTATTCCAGCTTGAGCCACACAAAAGAAAGGCGGGTCCCATCCCCTCTCACCCCCTCTCACCGCCCTCGGGCAGTCAGCCCGGCGGCTGGGACTTGGACTCTCCAGGGCTGTGAGGTGGGTCCAGGGGCAGCTCTGCCCGGCGGGGTGCCCGGCCCCTCTGGAGAGCAGAGCTAGGGCTGCAGGACAGCAGCTCAGAACTTGAATCGGCCGGGTCAGTGCCGACGCTCCTGGCCAGCTTGGGACTCTTGGCGGGAGGGGGGGCACCCCAATACTAAGGGTGAGGACAGAGGCACCCCTGGGGGACCCGCCTGCCCTCCACAAAGGTGGGCACCAGGCAGGGGCACAACCCAATCCCTGCTGAGCTGAGCCCTCTCTGCCCTCAGGCTCTGTGGCAGGGGCCCGGGGGAAGGGGCTAGTGGGGGTGGGGTGGGGTGGGAGTGGCCGTGGGGAGAGGCCAAGGAGGAAGGCGAGGGGAGCGAAGACAACCCGTCCCTCTGTCCCTCCGACACGAGGCTCCCTGGTCCGGGCGCCGGGGCGGAGGCAGGGAGAAGAGGAGAGACCACGGCCGAGGGTCGGCGGGTGGGGGCCTGCTGGGGTGACCAGGCCTCAGAGGGGGCGCCTGCGGCTGGCACTGGGAGGGAAGGGGTTAAGGCGGTGGGGGGTGCAGCCTATGGCTGGAGGACACACCTGTGCGCAGGGGCGGCGGGCGGGGCCCAGGTAGGAGCCTGCGCTGCCCGGCAGGCTAGAAGGAAGGAGGAAGAGTGGAGGCCAGGGCGGCTTCTAGGCCTTGAATCCCGAGCCTCGAGTCCTCCTCCTCTCCGCGGCCCTCGTTCCCTAGGGGGCAGGCGGCCTGGTGACAGGTAAAGGCCGGCGGGAGAGGGATCCTGGGGCTGAGCGAGGGACTGCCGGGGTGGGGGGGTGCTGAGGGCAGTGAGC